AAAAATTTTTTTTAATTTTTCGGGCTTATAATTAAACTTATTGATTTATGCTTTTCGAATAATGTTTGGAACAACTAGAACAATCTATACCGGTATCGGAATGCTTTATTTTCAAAAAATGGGGTGCCAGGTCAAAAATATTTTTTTCATTTTTTGGACTTATAATTCAACTTACGGATTTGTCCTTTTGGAACAATGTTTGGAACAACTAGAACAATCTATTGCGGTATCAGAATGTTCGATTTTCGAAAAGTGGGGTGCCAGCTCAAAAAATCATTTTTTTTGTTTTATTCGAAAACCGTTTCGAATGAAGCAATATCACTTTGGAACAATGTGGTACAAAGTCAGAACAATCTGGAACAACTTTCAAAATTATAAATTTCAAAAAGTGGGGTGCCAACTTCATATAATCCCGAGAATGACTTCTCCTGCCGAGGAGTGCCAGAATCGTCAATAATGACGTGGTTGATTGTTTGAAACGCAGAACTTATCGCGAGATATGTATTCTTTGATTCACGCACAATCTCGTCTCGATATCTCCGAGATAAATCTTTCTCACAAGGTGGTGGAGGAGTGGTGGTATCTAATCGCAATTATCGCACGCGTTCGCTCAATTTACGAGTGCATAGCCGCAGACTCGCGGTTCGCACGAATCACATGTGAGGGAAGAAAATTATTGTCCCTCCAGGGCAATAAATTAGTCATCAAGTACTCACTCGATCGTTAGGTCGTTAAGTTCCTCGGAAATGCTAGACAAGCTGTCGCATGACCGGCTGATGAAGGAGACTGGCGAGTGCAATATCCCCGCGTCACTTCTGAAATCAGAAAGATTGAATGTCATCAGCGACGACGCTCAGGAGATTGCCATTTATTGCTAGTGACAATAAAATCATACAATAAATCACACAATAACGTTAACATTCAACGAATGAATAATTATGAATGCCGCGAGGGCAGCTGATGAGACTTGATGAGATTTTTGGACGCGGTGATGGCAACGACGAAATCCGTTTCTAGATCTCAGTTATGACTTTCTACATCTATTCATCCGTTTGTTTCAGGCTTAACGGCGTCGCTCGTTCTTTTAGTGAAACACGCCGACGCTCATCAGGCCGTGGAGCAATTCACGAAACGCCATAACCGTCCACCCTTCGCTAACTTTAGCTCTTACATAACAGGCGTCCAGTGCTCGAATGAGTTTAATTGGCGCTCGCATTGTTCCTCCAAGAGAATGAACTCGTGAGAGGTCTATCAAACTGGATACCGCCTTCTTCCATTCTATTGACGATGATTAATCGCGAAAAGTATCTAATCACGCTTTTCGCCGCTCAAAACGCGAAAAAGTATCCGTAGGATCAACACGAATTATAGATTACAGCGGCGAATTTGCGAATATTACGGTAGATGCTACGTCACTACGTGCTTTTTAAACACTAAAAATGCGCGAGTTTGTAAACAAGGCCGCGGTAACACCGAGTGCGACCTACTTTCAGCGCGTAGTTCAGGATTAATCTAAACGCAAATAAAATTAACGGAGAAAGAAAAGTGGGTTTATTGTCGACTTTTTCTTTACCGCGTGTTTTTAAATATCGTAAATATCATAGAAAGGGTAAGTCTTCGTATAAACAGCATCGATTAAGGACGACGATAACTGCAATACGGCACAACAGCACCAATCAGACCGTCAGACCGCCCGATAAAACTCCAAGCTTCTGGCACAGATACGAGCCGCTCCCGTCTCCTGCAATTAACTGAAGTGCCGCATAGTTTATCGAGTTTGTCTGGACGGTGCAGCGGGTCTATAAGTGACCGCGTTGGTCGTGTGTCTAATGTAACGATAATAACCGCGATGTATTGACGTTGTTCCCCTTTGGCCGGCTATTTCGAGACAATAGCGGCGCGCAACACCACAAATTTGTAAACAATGAGGTCTACTCCCGCTCGATCTTGTCGCTTGCATCGAAAATCGAGCAGCTGTCGGCATATATTCGAGCTTCCGCTCCACCACACAAACAATCAAAACTGTCCTTTGATAGGAAAAACGGGGAGATGAATTGTTTCCTTCCTTTTTCTTCGAAAAACATATCCCTTCCCTCCCCTCTCCTACTATCTGCGAGATCAAACGCGCACCGCGAGATTGATGAATTAACGCGAATATGATCGGCGCGCGATTAAAGCGAGGCCTGTTTGGAAAAATACACGAGAGTCACGAATGATCCAGCTGGTCGACACTGCTGGTTGCACAAAACGCGCGGAAATTCACTGCAATCGGACATCTCGCACGAATTACAGAGCGAGAGCCTTACTTACGGCTCATTATCCTCGAGAGACGACATCGTCGACATTCGTCAGCGCAAACTGTTCCACTGACAATGCGTGAAACACAAGTTGACCCAGCCCACACGCCAAGAGACACTGTCACTGTCATTACTACTTTAACAGAGTGCTGTTTGTACGTTTATGCAGCACTTACACAAACCGATAAGGCGTTTCGGTCTGATAGCAGGCTTTGTGTTATTTCTCGTTCAAGTGAGAGGCATTTGACGTACTATACATTTCTATTATACGTGCCGCATACACGCACACACACATATGCGCACACTTGCTTAGTGGTCATCGGTATCGAGCGGTCGGAACGAGTGAATTAAGGGTAAGGATGCGGAATTATGCATGCGTGGCAAACTAGGTGCACTTTAAATATGTTACGAAGGAAGTGAAATGTAGAGCGCGCCGTTTAAATAACCGGCACTGCCTTTGCGGCCGCTTGGAAAGCGTTAATCGAGAAATAGACTGCTGCTTCCTTTTACGATCCTCGAGCGCGAATTTATCAGCCAGTTAGCCAACTAGCCAGCCAGCCAGGTAGCCAGCCAGCCTGTTGACAACACTTGCGTCGTTTCTTACGCGGCTATAAATATGTATTTTCTTATCGACGAGTATCGTCGATCTGCCGATTTGTTACGAGCCGCGATAACGATAAAAAAACGCCACCGAACATGCCGCCGCTAAACTCTGAATCATACGCAAACGCTCACAGAATATTCGCGTTATGTGCTAACTCAGCTCGAATCAAACGCAAACACGAAAGTCTCTTTTTATGCCATGGACGTGATATATATGGACTCCGAATGCCCTATGTTCTGTGATAGAGTGAAGCCAACATTTAGAAAGAGAGCTAGAATAGAGTGGTTATAGTTTTCTTCCTATTTTATCACTTTTTTGTTGCGCGTGCATTCATTTCTCGTTCCCATAATATTATAGAGTGCAACACTCCGACTAGACTGGCAAGTAAAAGTCTTACTTAAATTTTATTGCATACTTTGTCTGTGCAAAAAAAGACAGACGGGCTGTACATATTAGCTTCACTTTTCTGGCCATGTGCTGAGTCTATGTATACTACGTCCATGTTTTATGCCGAGCACAGGTGAACTGATTCCCAAACTGGGAGAAGTGATCTTCATTTCAATCGTATGCACAGTTAAACAATTTGGTGGAATGTCCCACGGATGTGTTAAAACGTAGATTACGTGAAAGAACATCTCCCGCGCTCGTAAAAGAAAGTAACATTCTTTTAGGAATATATATGTGAAATCTGAATGGGAGATTTTACTCGCAAAGTTACGCAAAGAGACTGAACTCATATATTTTGGTGAATAATCAGCTTAAGTACGAATCTCTTACCTTATCTTCGCCTTATCTCCGCGAATTTCTCTTTTCGTGCCTTTCGGAAACGCGGAAGCGGAACGACTAATGGCGAGTGATTCAAACGAGGAGGTTTGAATTCCGGCGTTTCGCGGAGAGATGGAGCCAGCAATCAGGTCGACTGACCAGCTGGTAATGCAGATACTGATAATCCAGCAGCTGTTCTAACCTTAACCTAACCTAACTATCTTGGTGCTTACACGTGTGAAGACGCGCTTGTGAAAAATGGCAAAATCGTTGCGAAGTAAATGGAAAAGGAAATGCCGAGCGGTCAAGAGAGAACGTTACGCGGCAAAGGAATTGGACAGATTAAAAAAGACTCTCGGCATCGACGAGAAGACATCCAAAGATGTGGAAATGACTAATCTCGAGGAGATTGCCATAGGTAAGGCTTTGTACATTGCAAAACGTGAAATTATTGTTATAAGTATTACATATATGTCGTAATATAACAAAATAATGTACTGTTGTTTAATTTTTGGAAACCAATAGTTGTAGATGCAAGCAAAGTAAGAAAAGATATCAAGACCAAGCGGAGTGCCATGACCACTGATGAGGGTCAGATGGAAGTGGAAGATGCCAGAGTATACGATAAGAAAACATTACGCGATCAGTACGGCAATTATCCTGTGTGGATGAATCATAGGAAGATACTCAAGCACAAAAAAGGCAGAGCCAAAACACAAAAGGCTACTAAACAGACGAGCAAAAGACTCACCAGACGTCAGAAAAAAGCATCAAAGGATAAGAAAGCAAAGGACTAGATAAATTAAACTAGACAGCTTTAAAGCGAATCAAGTTTCAGAATAGCATTAGTACAACTAAAAGAGACAAGTCTAGTATAAAAATCTTTTCCATAAATTGTACTATTAGCTTACATATTACTTATTAACTGTTGAGTATGGTGAAAGTTATTGCTTATTTTTTTATGGATAAATGACAATAATTCTTGTAGTGTAAGTTAATGTACCATGCATTACTTTCTTTGGAATCTGAATGAATCCAAGAGGATATGATTAAAAACTGCAGAATCCATATCGTTTTATTATTGGTACAAATAGTTCTACTAGAAATAGTATTGAATACAAATAGTCACATACAGTTAACTGTTAGAGTGCCAAGGAACACGATTACACTCCTCTTATATCGTCGCAACGAGCCTTATCGCGCTTTTTTTCTCAAAATTTGTATTTTTATGACGATTCTCTTTCTCCTAGCACTCGACAATTCAATTACTACTATATTACGAGCTTGAAATGTAATAAACATTAAATAATAGCAACAGTGCTATTTCACATCAAGAATTTCTCGTAAATCCTATGGCCAGAATTACGTCAGTACTTTGAGATTAAGACGATGTTTAACTCGAAAATATCCAGACGAATATATGTAACATCTGTTTATTTGCACATTTCTAAGAGCGACGTTATTTATCGCAAGTTAAGAATGCAGACTTCAAAAAGTCGTTATTCACTTGTAACATTCCGACAAAATTAATAATAAGAGTAATACTATCATTATATACTATTAATACTAAGTGGGAGAATAGTAGCAGTAACACCCGACAATCTACTACCATAGTACAGAGCAGGATAGCAGATGGTATTACCTACCTACTACCTGCTGTCAGTATCAAAAATCGATCGTAATTACCGCGTGACCCTAAAAATTCAACGAGCCGCTAATTGGCAACGTCGATCTGCAACGTATTCTCAAGCGATTCTCAAGTTCTGCAACGCGGTTCATCAGATGTTGTATCTTCCTCATTTCCGCCTCGTACTGCTTCATCTTGCTTCTCATGTCGTATACTTCCTGTTGCATCAGTTGCTGAAACAAATCACCATTGTAATCCACGCACGATGCAGGTATGTATTATTTAATATTTCATAAGTACCACGTTCTCGACGGTTCTCCTCATCTCGTTGACGCTCTCGACGGCTAGCGTGACCTTGGTGTTCATCTCTGAAGTTTCCGTGTCCCTCTTCCTGCTCCTAGCCACTTGCTGCGGAAGTAAGACGTTTTTTCTCACCGATCAGACCAAATTGGCACGAATGACCTACATACCTTTTCCAATTTGGTCAGTCTCTTCAAGATGATCTCGTAGTCGTGAACATCGTCGCCCACCTCGTTTTCTGTATCTACAATTTAACAATGCGTCCGTTACTTCATAATAATTCGTGTGCCTTACTTTACATATATCTCACATATATCTTTTGCGATTGTCAATTATTATTTCTAAATTTTGTTAGCCATTTATTCTAGCTTTTTTAATAAACTAGAACACCACATAGCGCGCGCCACTTTAGCCTTTTTGTTGTATTTACAATTTATATTATAATACTCGTTTTTACAAATTATATTCCCAGCAAATACAATGTTACATGTAACGTACATGTTAGTTGTAATTTCCTATTCAACAATGTTATATAACTGTTATATAACACGTATATTATATAACAGTTATATTGTTTGTTGAGTAAGAAATTACAACTAACATGTATGTTACATGTAACATTGTGTTTGCTGGGATTACAATAAATATCAAATTCATGTGGCGCGAACAACACAACTCGATCTGTCACCGCGGCTGACAGCTGCAAGCGGCACGAATTCAACTGCGACGGGATCGAGACAATCGAGACGGCCAATTAGCGTCGCGGAAAAGAGACTTCACCCACTTCGATACATTCGAGATTTAGTTAATACGCACTTTTTCTGATAGGATTTTTCTCTGTAGAATATGCTTTTCCGTACATACCATGAAAAGAAGTCGTTGGACCTCTCGTTGTTGACACATCGTCTTGAAAATCGTTCTCCAAGTCGCGCGCCTCAAACGCGTTCTCGGTGTCGGTGTCTGTAAGAAATAAAATAAAAATCAAATTACATAAACTGTGAGTTTCGAATTTGGCAAACTCACCGTTCCTCCAACACGATTGGCCGTCTTGCTGCAATTGAAAGCCAACTCTGCAGTGGCATCGATAGCTGCCAGGTAAATTCGTGCAAAGTTGACCGCACGGTTTTTCTATCGCGCACTCGTCTATATCTGCGGGTTGAAGAAACAAATAATTAATTTAGCTCTCTAACAGGATGTGACGGAAGTGTGGCATTTAGTTCCAAACGCCGAAACCGATATTCATTCTAATCAAGAAGACACGAGGGAAATCGCGTTTAGAATTATTTATTTCTTAGAAATGAAGGGTCCTCGAAGGAGTCAGCTCTAAGAAACGACACCATCGTCGCGTGTTAAGGCGCGAAGAAGAACATCCGATCGATTCCTCGACCACGAGTGCCTTCTCGTGCCTGGTAGCGCCAAACGTAATTAAATCGACGCGGCGCGATACGCTTCTCGATAGCATTACGCCGGACTAACTGCAGCGCAATCCGTATTGCGGTGTCCTGCATGTCCTGCATCAGTGGACTGCAATCAGACCGCGCGTTCTCTTGATAAATTTACGAGCGATTCCACAGCGGACGTTAAAATCGCTGTTCTGCGTGTGCAACAGATAGTAGTACGACCACGACTTTAATAAAAAATTCTATGCTCTAAATTAATCCAAAATTGGGCAAATCTTACTATTGAATGAATCTTTAGACCGCCGGGAAAACCACTTTTGTGGCTTTGCACAAATCTCAAAATTCTGTGCCATGTGTGTGTTACTTCCATAGAAAAATTCTTGAGGAAAAAACCACTTTTTTAATGAAAAAACGCCGGCAGTCTAAAGGTTAATCGATCTCGTAATGATGTCGCAGCATAAGGCATAATTTAAGAGTGCAATCCTGCAATTTTCTCCCGTTAAAATCGATACTAATGCATTAATAATAGTAATAATGACGCTGCATGTTACTTGGACGTTCGAATCTTAATTGAAGTGAAAATTACCTGTTTGGCACTGATTGCCGGTGTAACCCTTGGGACACGTGCACTTACTGGGCGACGTGCAAATTCCACCGTTCAGGCACGGCGCCGAACACGTAGCTAAAGAACAATCGCAAGTGCAGTTTAATCAACTCATCGTACACGTTATACAATTATGTGAACGATGTTCGAATGATATTCAGGGAGCTACCATTCACTACCCTACTTACGTTTGTTACAACCGGAACTTAGATGAGTGATTTGCGACCATCCCGGGCAGCAAATGAAACCGGAGGTCAGCTCGGTGTAACCGAGGATTAACCTAACGGATGTGTGTCTTTAATTGTAATGAAATGTACAAAGTGTAGAAAATATCACCCGAATGTGTGAAACACGAAGAGACTATTCTGGAGTATTCATGAATTTACACGGAAAAAACAATTCTGTTGGTAACAATCGAATTTTCGATTGCTCAGGGATCAGACGAAAACTCGACTGTAGGAACAGAAAAATTCCTTTATGAGGCTTCTGTATAGTCAATTGTTCTCAGTTGCCTCAACCGAGTTCTAATATCGTTGAATGTTCAGACGAATATTTTCACGGAGAAAAATAATTTTGCTCTTTTAGCAAAATCGTCGTTGCTACTACATATTCGTAATGACATTAAACAAATTTTGTTTGTTAATGTAACTAATTTTACAAATTATTCGTTATTAGAGCAGAAGTAGTTTCGTTGCCAGGATAGAAAAAATTTCTTGAGTGTATTTGTCCTAAAAATCACGTTAATTTGCTATTGATACAAAATAATGTATCCTTATCAAATTTATTTGCTATTGGAGCAAAACTGCAACTGCTTATATAAATCCATTATGGTTCTTATAGCAAAGTAATTTGTAGATTCAGCAAATTATATCCAACAAATAGTGATTAGTACTCTTAGCAAATCTTTTTGCTATCCATATAATAACGAAAAGATTTTACTAGCAGAAAATTTGCTGGGCCAGCAAATTATTTTTCTCCGTGTTCGGTTGCGACAACAGAAATATTAGTTTTCATAACAGAGGTATCGCTTCTGATCACCTAATTTTCAGTTGATTCCTATTTGGTTGCACCAATTGAGATTTTTTTTGCGTATACAAGTGTGTGTGTAATCGTCCTCAGATAATAAATTCCAAGACAGAATAAACTCAACTACTGATTAATCTCGACGAAGTTTCTCGCATACTCGAGACATACCTAATTTGTCTTCCTCGATGATGATGAGAAGTCGCTTGCCTGGTGCAGACTCGCCTCCTGGAAGGCAAACGTTAGCTTGAAATTCAGGCGAGAGAAGACGACTTATTCCGCAAACAAATTGTCCGGCACACTTTGGGACACAGCATGACTCTACTCTCTTAAAATGAATCAGTCAAACATGACTGAAAACAATAAATATACTGATTGCAGTTATAAGTATAACATTGAAAGTGCTCAGTGCTACATTCTTAACTGATATCACTGACTATTCACTGATTCACTTTAAGAGAGTACGTAGCGAAATCCGCTCGTGTTATGTGCTAACTTCCAAAGAAAATCAAGCTACACATAGCATCGCATTAAGAGTAGAAAGTACCTCCCTGATCAATTATCACCATGACTGAATGTAAATCAGGCGCATAAAAGGCATCATTGCGAAGACATTATCGCGATAGGATAACCCTGGAACCGATCCTGTCGATCCGGTCTCTCTCGCTCTCTCGATTTCAGCTTTGCATTTCGTTGTCGCGGCTTACGCGGCGGGGAAATTAAATCGGCCGGTCGGCTATTCCGATAGTCATCGTCGACGATGCGCCCCGCTTTATATCCCGTCGTTCCGGCCGAACTGATCGCCAAAGCGCAGTCATTTGAATCGTAAAGTGCGCAGAAGGGGCCGGTTAAACCGTGAAGTACGAAGGTCGATCGAACAGACGACCGAAATAAGTATTTGCGTTGGCGACGATATTACGGCTTACCGTTGCCGCGAAGTCGGCTTGGGAATTAAGCTTACACTACGAGAGTTGATGTGAGAGACTTTGCATTTCTGATTGAGACCGATACCCAGAGAGGTAAAACAAACAACATGAGCCAGGGATTCTCGAGTCGCCGCGTCGATTCCGCAATCGTCCGGGAATTCGAGGCGACGGGCGGGGTATATACGCGCGCCTCTCTCGCAGAACACATTCCCATTTTATTGCCCCATACCGCTTACCGATATAACCGCAGTCAATGCGCACGTGGATAAAGCGCGTTCTCGGCTCATTGAAATTCCGCGCGCGCGGCAAAATCCCGGCCGATATACGGCTGCGAAATCGCGGCGCGCCGAGGAAAACCAACCATCTCTCCCATCATTTATCGTTAGTATCATACGATCCGTCCACGCCTATGGTAACCATGGTGCTCCGAGCTGATTCACAGTGATTTCCTCGAGCTTTCTCCCGGGCAGGCGCGTAAATCGTTCGCGCGCCGTGTTCTTGACTCGCGAAAAATCCCGTGAAACGCGTTGCGCCCGCGCGACGGGGGCTCGTAGATACGGTTCGGAAGACATTCGCGTGGGAATACTGGTTCGGCTGTGTCGCTTCGGCTTCGTCGCACCCGTCGCCTCGTGCCTCTTTCTCTCGCTTTCTCCTACCCGCGACACTGGACGAGCGTTTTGACAAACGCAGAAACGAAATCGTCGCGAGGCGACGAGGCGAGGAGCGTGTCCCGCGGCCGATAAGCACCGTCAGGGGGTTTTTACGACGCGCCGATGATTTACGACGCGGCCCCGGGAAACCCTCCGACTTTCCACTCGCGAAAACTCCTCATCTCCAGCCGCGGCGTTTATTCGCCAGCTAGTTACCGGACCAGTTTTATGCAGCGTGGGTTAAAGGGTCAGCGCGCCGGAATGATTGGCGAAGTTGCGGAGCGACTGCAATGTCTCTATCGATTTAAAATATTATCCCGACAGGCGAGAAATTAGCGTTGCCGCGGACAGCCGAGCTCGTTACGTTAGTCGCGGAGCGATTTAAGACTTTGTAGGTCGAAAGTGATTGCTAATGGTAGACATATCTCTGTCGCTAATAACGGAAATGTAAATGAGAGCAACACCGACGACATCGACGGGCATTCCTGCGCGACACGAAAATTATCTGATTCGTCTGGATTTCTCAATTACACATTGGTATTATTAGATATTAAACAGATTATTATATTGTCAGATATTATATCCGCAGCTTATAATTAAAGTAAGACTTTCATCATCGAATTTAGGCTCGTATCAATAGCTGCGAGTAGCCGAGGATGACAGGCCAGGCGGGAAAAAAGGAATGCGTAAAGGGACGTAATAAAATCAACGACGTTCTCCGGATGCACGAACGGCCGAGGGCGCCGTCGCGTGATGTGGTTTACAAGGTTCCGCACCGAAGGGTGATAAATCCCGGATGAAATACCGCATCGAGTCCTCGCATGTCTACGGCTCTCTTAGACGCTTCCGAAATCTCAGCGGCGATCTCAGGATGATTTCCATACCTAGCCGCGTCGCGTATAGCCTCTAACGCGACGTCGTATTATCGCGGTCGTTTGTTACATTCTTGCATCCATCTGTTGCTCGCGTAGATTTTCACCGACGACGACGACGAGGACAGCGACAACTACAACAACGGTTTCCTTTACCACGGCCGTTCCTGCATGCTTAACGAGCCGCATACCTTCCTCGCGACATTGTTGCGCTTGCATTTTGTGTCTATGCGTCACCGAGAGAGCAAGTTGCAGAAACATTTCCCCGTCGAGCCGACAAGCAGTGTCCTATTTCGTTCGCGCGCACGCGAAACGTGAAACTTGTCAATTTTCTATCGCCTGTCGCGCTCTCGACGATTTTTCCAATCACCCGCGTCGAAATTATACGTTGTCCGGCGTTTAATATTATAAATAGCGACAGCTGGCTCTCTCGAGTAAAGCAGCACGGTGATCGTAATCTCTCGCCGGAAGTGATCCGCTAAATTAATAATAAATCCAAGCTACAGAAAGTAAAGAGAGAGAGAGAGAGAGAGAGAGAGAGCGAGAAAAGGAGTGAAGATTTCCACGGAAATACATGATTCGCGTTCTGCGCGTTTGGCGTCATGGTTAGTGGCAACATAAACATTGGCGTTTTATTGCCCGATCTCGCAAATGTTAGCAATTCTTTCTCTCCTGCGCAGCGGGCGAAAAACACGGCCAGAGGCGCGTCTCGCGAAATCTCCGGTTTCGCATCGCCAACGAGATCAAAGTGCGACGATCCCGTTCCCGAATTAGCCGGCGTTCGCGAAAATCGGCTTGGCGATCGCCGCTGGATTCTCCCGTGCGCCGTTTCATCGTCGCTTAAGTAACGAGTCACGTGAGCGACGAAACGATAAATCAGCAATTACGAACGACTTGAGATTTCGCGACGAACCGATTCGATGAAGAGGGCGGACAAGGCTGTCGATTGTGATCGCCGGCGGTATAACGATCGATTTGTTTTACAAGCGTTTCGCGTGCAAAACACGTGGAATCTCGACGGCCGACGGAACAAAGAGACCGGAGAGCTGAAGTGCCACTCGTGCCCGGCCGGCAATTTGTTTTTAAGGTTTTCCAACGATCACCCACGGCCATCGGCCGTCATTCCACAAGTGGAACCGGATTGATCAGGCGCAGTCCTCTGGACACTCGTGACACTCCATTTTTTTCCTTCTCCCAGTTCCGAAACGCTGCTCAAGCCACTCGGCAATTCTGCGAGGTTTCGGAGCGAAGTTATGGAAATCGGGAACATACGAAGGGGCAGAAGCGAGTCGCTAAGTCCACGTTTTATTCGCGTCGCAATTTTGTATACACTTGCGTATGCATCGATAGACCTTTTCCGCGCGCCGCGACGGCAGATAGCCGGTGACTTACGACAGTATGGTTCCGAGGGAGCTTCACGAGCGCGCGGACGTTCCCCGACGCGAGAGATCGCGCGAAAGCTACTCGAAAATTACGATGTATCTTGTTTCAAGATGCAAGACCTGAACGCCATAACGCACCTATATATTGCGCGTTTCAATTACGAATCGCGATAACACCTCACGGCGGTAACCTCGCGCAGCTGCGCACATCCACGTAGCTCAGCTTATCGCGAAAAGTAACGGAGTTATTTTCGAGCCGGCCGGATTGGAGGAGCTCCGTTGCGCCGTTGGAATACTTTTCTCGCCGCGTCTCGCTCCGTGAAGCTTATTTGAAAATGCCAGGGGGGAAAAGAACGATCCTCTGCAGAGACTCGATTCTCTGGACAAAGAAAGAAAGAGAAATTCTCTCCGCAAATATTTTCCGAATTATCGCTCTTCGCGAAGTCTTCCTCCGCGAAGATTCTTTCTGGAGCGAGGAAGAACGCATCTCGGAATATTTCTCAGGGCCGTCTTCTTGTCGCCTCGATTCCCTCGTTCGCGAAGCCCTCGGAGCGTCGACACTCTCGTATCGTTAGCGAACAATCGCCATGTGGCCACGCTCCGGGTATATTCACCAAGTGCGGACGGACGACGTCTAAACAATCCAAGACAGCGCAAATTGTGTGTATACGCTAACGAGAGTTCGTCGGTCGTCGATCCTCGGATCTCGCCATGAAGCGACTCTCGCGCGGTGATTCATGCCCGCTAATTTCAGAGCCACTCTTTGAAGAATTGCTTACACGAGTCTCTTTTTAGGATCGCCTATCGCTGCTCTCTCCGTCGCTCACGTGCATATTACGATCGGCTCGTCGACTCGAGGCTCGGCGAGCCGAGGTTTATGCAACCTGCTCGCCCCGTTGCGAATGTGTGCTCCATCGCAACATGTACTATCACTATTGCAATTCCGGAATTTACACGAGTCATTCGCGTCACGTAGAATAAATATTGAAAAATACTCTCTGAATTTCTCGGAGTGACATTTCGCTCGAAAATGTGGAGCAAGCACCGAACCGCACGGATTCCATTCCTTCATATAGACCAATATCCATAATCAGATCTCATATTTAACTTAAGTTCATATGCTGTACAGATCATTTCATTAGCTATGGAGTATCTGGAAATGAACTTAAGATAAATAAATAAATATAAGATTCTTAAATGTAAAATCGAAATTAAACAGAGTGAATCTGATGTATTTTCCGCCGTCACACAAAATCATTCTAATCGATCGAAACATTTGCTCATAAGGAGTCAGAATAACGAGTCACTTGAAATTTATATATCTCATGTGACATTCTCAGATTTTTATTCAGAGTTAAATTCAAGTTTTTTAGTTGAATATGATATATGTGATATTTA